CTATAAATCTCATTTTAGTCTTCGGCTCTTTGGATCAGCAAAGAAAGACAGAGTTAAATGACCTGCAGTTTCTTTAGTTAAGAAAGGGTATCGAGAACTAGAGGATTATTTAGTTCAACCTAAATCTGATTGTTCTGAAATCTGGCCTCGAACCTTTTCAGAAAAAAAGCTGGCAAAAGAGGAATTTAAACCTATTGAGGATGATAATACTTTGGTTAAAGGTGCTAATTTAGTTATTGCAAAATATGGGTGGCTCCAGATTAGAAGAATCGAGAAGAGATTTATAAACTTTCAAGCACAATCTATTAAAGAATACCCTATATGCGATGTTAAACATGAAAAGACCAACTCTATGAATTTATTTGTCAAAATAGGCATTTTATACTTAAGTATTATCATCAAAAACAATATAAGCCAGAATATAAGAGCCTTAGCTTCGATAATATATTAGATAAAGTCGAATCAAAAGTGAAACTCAAGAAGTGGGGATTAATTAAAAGATTGTTCAAGGCTGTAAAACATCCATGCCCACTCATAGAATTATCTGGAAATAATATTAATATTAAGAAAATAGAGAACGCTCCAGAAGCTTATCCAGATTTCATGAGTGAGGAACCTACTACAACCCTAATTCGCTCACCTGTTGCTAGTGGAAAAACAAAAACCTTAAGAGAGATTCTTAATTCTTTAGCTAAAAGTAAAGCAAATTTACCTTGTTTTAACTGGGTTTCATATCATAAAACTCTTAGTAATGAAACTAAAAATAAAATCGAAGTATTACAGAAATCTAGGCTTCATGTATGCCATTATCAGGAAAATGAAAGTAATTTAGCTATACGTGACTAGGATATTATTATTGTTCAGGTCGAAAGTACATATTGTCTTAATTTCTATGGGGGTCATTCTCATGTAGTTATTTAGATGAAACGAATGGTATTATGCATCAAATGGCAAGTAGAATCTATGCACGAAAATCTGAAAATGCTATATGTGATTTGTTAAAGTTGGCTGTTTATGTGGTTGCTATGGATGTTTTGCAAATGAGTCAACTTTAGCCTTATTAAGACAATACCAAGGTGAAAACATCCAAGTTTTTGATAATAAGTATCAGCCACGTAAAAGTGAGACCGTAAAAATCCTTTATGATTCAAATAAAGGTTCAGAAGCTATACGTAAAGGTCTTGAGATGCTTAAAGAAGATAAGCGTGTTGTCTTTTCAATGACCTCCTGCAAAAAGGCTCAGACAATAGCTAATCAAGCATCTAAGTTGCAAAAACCAGATAGTTCATGTGTTTTATTATAAGTTTATTTTAGTCAAATGGATGGAAAACAACGCCAGGATGACTTTGCCGATATTAATGCTACCTAGAGTGGTCTTGATTGTGTAATCTATACAAGTACTGTAGAGTCAGGCATCTCGTTCAAAATTTCTAACTATTTTGATGCAGTTATAGCAATTAGTAATATTAATATTGAAGTACACGCTGAAGTATTTACTCAGATGCTTTATCGAACTCACAATTGCCCATATTGTATTGTTTCTCTTTACAATAGTAAAACACATTTCGAGATTTTTAAAGAACCAAATCGTGACCTTATTCGTGCAGAAACTAAAGATGTGTGGGATATTTGGTTACATGCTTTAGACTTAGCTATGCCAAAAAATAATACAGATGAAGCAATTGTGGCAGCCAGTTTTTGTGTTTCACAATTTCATAGAGAGTTAGCAAAAGCTGGGGTTGGTTCCAAGCAAATTTATATATATGCCAAATTACCAGAAGTTACTCGAGCTTCTAATGAAATTCAAAAGAAGCAACTCGAACAGCAATTACCCAATCCACCTAAAACTCCCAAATACTTTTCTTTAGAGGAAGAACTTAGAAGAATTCAAAATATCAATACTACTAAAATCTCTACTATGCAAGATCTTGCAGATGTAATTATAATGTTGAGTATGAGACCTGCCAAAGTTGCCACTCTTCATATTATCCATTATGAACCTGGTGAATCGAATTCTCCTGAATAGTACAAGTCTGGTTATTCTTGGTATTGTATCAGGTATATTAAAAATAAAGAAGAAGCAAAAAATAATCCTGAATCTTGGCAATTTTTATTCATAGAAAAGAATCCAGAACATGCAAAAGAATTGCTTACCTGGATCCAAGATGCAATAGCAACTAGAAAGTTACACAATCTTGTCTATAGTATTAATAGAAAATGCAATATAGGAGTATTTAGTAAATTTTTAAAATCATATGGTATTACAGCCAAAAGATTAAGAAAAATTGGAGGTAAACATGCTTCTAGAGTTCATGGTAGTCAAAATCCAACTTCGCAACATCTCGAATTCCTTAGCAGAGTTGCAATGAGGCATAAGATGGATCGTTATAATTCTGGAATATATTATGCCGAGGGTGATACTTCTGATTCTAACCTTGACTCAGATCAAGAACCTGAACCTAAAGCCTAGCTTCCACACCCAAGGCAATTAATGAGAATACTTCTAAAATTGAGGATATCTATGACTTATATGGGAGTATTTAGATTAGTTCATAACTTATTTATTCATTCACTATAACCTAGCTTTACCACTTTGGACCTGCTTTACAATAATTAGACTTATTAGATATTTTTAAGTAAAGTTATATATGCAAACCAACTCACTAACCACACTTACCTATAAGCTAAAAATCATCTGCAACTGCCACCAAAGATCTAGTGATCCAGGCTCATACTTATTAAATAAAGAGTCTTAGTTAATAAAATCAAAATATAAACATGCCCAATATTCAAGATATTTGTAAAAAATGGACAAAAAATAATTATACCTGATACATGTTAACCAAATATGGTTTAAACTATATCAATAATTTTAAAACACCAGAAGCTTGGTTACGATTTGCAAAGTATCATCCGCCCAAATATATACGTAGACATTTATTAATACTAGGATATGATATTATTAGTAAGGACCATTGGGAAAACTTTGTATTCTGTATTAAAAATAATCTAACCAGAAATGAATCCATAGCTAATAACTCTGAATTTAGAGAATTTTTAATCCAAGTAGCATATTTTAAAACTTTGTATATAAAAAATCGATTGGCTATTATCATCCAGTGAGCATATCGTTTATGGAAAAAATGAATAAATTCAGCTATAATAATCCAGTGAGGAGTGAAGAAATGGCTTTATCAACCAGGTGGACCATTAATGAAACATGCTCAAGATCGGTTTTATCAAAATGCTAATAAACTTGAAAATTCAAGATAATTCGGAAGATTTTTAACACAAGTAGAAAAGTGTCAATGTGAAATAAAAATCTATGAAGTGTATGCCCCTTTTTCTTCATGATTGCCATCAAAGATCTAGCGATCCTCTCATACTAATTAATTTGTGAATGAACAGATCGCCAAATCTGAAATTAGTTTTCATAGTATCTAAATTTGGTTTGTTAATAATGAGGAGTATATTATATAACAGGATAAGTTAATAATAAATTGCAAATACTTATCTAACTAAAATTCTTGTAATTGTACTGATTTGGATATTATATCTGTTTGCTCTTATCTAGCAAATAATCCCAGACAATGTGAAAATAGTATATAGTCAGGTAAAAGTAAAATGATAAGAAAATTTTTTTCTTTGTAAACCAGCTCAGCATATTCTATACTATGAGTCTTGAATCACTTAGTGAAAGAGAACTTGCTAAAAAATACCCCAAATGATCAGAGTTATTAAAATCTTTAGGAATAAATATCCTAAAAAGTTATCCAAATTCTCTTGCAAATGATATTACAATGCCAGAGCTAGAGAATTGTCATGAATGTAATGAAAAAATTTTTTTAAATCTGACCAAAGCATTTACTATGTTAGTGTGTAGTTATACTTTCCATCACGACTGCCTTGAAAAAAGTAACAGAGATAAGCAAAAAACTTGCCTCATTTGTTTCGTAGATAATGAAGGACCGGCATCAGCTGAAGTTCAGGACATAGATATGACAGAGGCAGTAGAAGATGAAAGTGAAGAAACCTCTAATCTAACAGGAGAGGTAAGAAAATTATCTGTAGACGATGGTAGAGCTATCCCCAAAGTAAAATGAAATCCATGGAATCTGAAAAAGTGCAAGGTTTAATAAAAGAACTGTCTATGCCTCGTGAACCAATTGATGATAATGATAGAGAAAATAAAACCAGAGAATCGAAACCAAAAACTTTACTCTAGTTATATTATAATGCAAGCCGGGCAGAAAAATATGTAACTTGAGCCTACCAAGAAGAAATTAGGTGTTGGTACCTGTTTGCTAAAAAATTCGAAGAAAGAGTTAAAGAAATTAAAAATGATAATAGTAGATTTAATGATCAACAAGCTAGAGGGTTAGTTTATAGCGAAATCGCAACGAATATTCCAGGATTCACAAGAGAAAGCCTATGTAAAAAAACAGCAAAAACTAGAAATATTTATAAGTTGTTTGGTGAAAGTTATGACCCTGAAACCAAAACAGTAGTTAAGGGACTAGAGATTGAAAAAATAGAGCGAATTCAATCATATAGTGCTGATTATATTTCAAAGCTCAATTCTACACAAATTTATAATATTATAAAGCACTTTAACTAGTGCAGATCGCGTCCCCCAAGTTGACATCAACGTGATATAAATATTTTTTATTAGTAAATCATATATAAGCATAATTATATAATTAAATTTATACATATTAAAGTTTATACATATCAATAAATGCTTGTTAAATATATGTATTCAATCAGATATTGACCTAAGGATTATGTGTAAGACAGGGTACAAACACATTGCAGGTTTGAATGATAAAAAATTTTTTAGCCACGTATAATTATTTTTCTATTAATACAATAATGATAAAAAATCATAACAATATATATACAAATAAAAAAAAACAAAATCACTTCGAAAAGTGGCATATCTTTAGAGGCTGGAAACACGAATGTAAGGTCTGTGACGAATGCAATCACTATTCACTCCTATATTGTAAAATATGCAAAAAGGTGGCAGATGGAATATATAGGCGATGTGGATGTAAGAGAAGAAGCGATATGTAGTTCCTAACTCATCTATTATATTATCGAATAATTGATAATACAGAATTTGTGTAATCTTACTGTGACATCGAATATCACACCTCCCAAGGAATAATAGGTTTAATTTTTTGTTTTTCTGCACGCTTGGTAACAAATTCGAATAAAAATTCTGCATGCAGAGACTGTAACTCGATTTTGTGATTATTAAAATTTCGATTTAATTTATTTCTTGATGCTACAGAAAAAATACAATATCGTATTGTCATTTTATCATGTAACAATACGTGATATATTGTACGACAATCTGATTGTATAAACTATAAAAGAGTGAATGTACGACTATTTCTTGCTAAAAAAAGGTTCTCATCCTATCCAAAAACTAAATACGTGAATATGTCTACTTCTACCGGAAAAACAATTTCACTTTCTACAATCAATGAAGTTGAAGAATATAAGATAATAGAGGGTCTAATAAATTTTTTACATGACCAAAATATAGGACTTGAAGACAAGCATTTCAATATTTTTCGTGAATAAGAAGTTGATGGCAAAACTTTTCTCAGACTGAACATGGATAAATTAATAAAAGCTGATGTAAAACTAGAACCAGCTGAAAAATCTTAAAAGTGATTAAAAAAATCAAGGG